ATCCGAATGAATGGAAAGAATTATTCATATTCTTTTGTGTTATGCCATTTACCGAATATGAATTTCAGGGTGATGATGGAAATTTACTAAATCCTGATACTCTTCATAATACCAGTACGAGCGAGGCAACAGAAAACAATCTAATTGGGACTTTTTCCGATATTGAATTTGAATCAGTCAAGCAGATAATTCCGGAAGGCAGACTTGCAGCTAATTTGCAGACTATATTGAAAACAGACGTATTTTCAAGCAATTTTAGTCAAGACGAAACAAAAAAGATTATGACCGACTTGCTATACGTTGGTTTTCAATCAAAGTATGAAATTGTGACAGATATTGGATCGAATGCTGAGAGCACATATAAAAACAATTTTATGAACTATTTATTCAAACCCATATGCCAATACACTGCATCAGTCCTTCATTTTCAGACAAGAGTAGAAGAAGTTAATGCTATCGGTCAGACTGGAGTTCATACTAGGGTACCACATCAATCCAAAGATTTATTCTACTCGTATCCCGATATAGTAGCATACGCTAAAAAAGTACGTAATCAGTCTCTAGCATTGGTTGAGGTTAAGAAATTACCTATTTTAATCTCTAGAAATATGTTGGACGTTACAGATGTAAAAATGAAGAAATTCATCAAGCAAGTTGTGGCAGAAATGTTTTCTAATCATACAAATAAAGGCATGCTAACAGATTCATACACAACAATACTAATTGAAATGGATATCGAGAGATCTTTGGAAATAATCGAGCAAAATGCCGATTGGAATGATGGCAAGCCCGTAGCTTTAAATTATAGAGTCCTAGATTGTCATTCATCAGGCCTTACATTAAGGGGTGGTCTCATTTCATATATCTATGAAGCTTTCGCTGTAAGTGAGGACCGACTAGATGAAATTAAGAGAGGATTGGATACGATCTATAAGTTTATTCGCAAGACAGATGAAGAGTATTTGACATATTTGGATGAAATAGCATTAAAGCATGAGATGCCGTTTAGGGATTATTGTATTAATTCAATTGAAAATCATCCAGTAGAAGATAGAAGACGGCATATTTCTGCTACTGAAATTGCACTCGGAAGTTTTGACAAAATTGACGTTCAGTGTGGATTTACGTTCAATTCTCAACTTTTTAAGGTAAACAAGGAAGATGTGGAGGCTTTTTTCATAGAACCTTTCAATGGTGATGACCAATTCATTGTAAAGGTCTTCGACCCCATCAAAACGAAAAGGGATCATAAGAATTATAGGGCTGAACGAACAGATAGCTTCAACATATGCCGCAAGACCTATCTGTGCGAGAAACTGGCATATGAGATTTTATCAAAGGAGGGGTTGTTCAATAATGTTTACGTTGGCCAAAAATATGTATTTGGTAAATTCAATATAGGTGAACATTACCATGCGCTAGGGCCATTTATCATATTAAAATATATAGAGCCCGAAAAAGGAAAATCTATAGAACCCGAAAAAGGAGAATATAATCGATTGCCCAAAGATAGAAGGACATATGAGAAAGCTGAAGAGCAATTGAAAATCATCCACAGTTGTAGAATACTTCATGGAGATATTTGTGAACGGAATATTCTTTATTCACAAGGCAAGGTCTATTTTATTGATTTTGGGTATTCAGATTATAATATTGTTGAGAAAGGTTCCAGACCAGTAACTGCTGATCAAAGGAGTACGAATAATGAACACCGAAAATTATGTCGAGTGTTTAATCAGGAAATTCCACAGCAATATGAAGATCCTAATGAATGATCGAGTCTAATTATATGATAATTGTATAGGGTAAGGAGGCATTAAATTGTCGCTTATCCTTGATACATAACGCAATTCTCTTGATATTCAAGTATGTGAATGGAGACGTGGAAGTTCGTAATGGCTTGTAAAGGTAGGGNACAAAATAGCACTCCTGGCCTTTTTATTTGTAGTTTATGTCAGATAAACTTTTGAATTAGTCAAATTTTGACATCTGAAAGAATGAAGAAATATGTGATCCCACACACCAAAGATAGAACAAGTGGATAAATACTAAATATTCAGGACTCTTACTTAATACCATTACCAAAACATATGGACTATAAAACCATTAATATGAGTAATGCCACGTCATTACATTATTTACCGCATTGGATAACTGATTTAATTTTTAATATCTGATAAAAAAGTTTTATTTAATAAAATAATTCCTTTATTTAAAAATAAATTAAATTCTAAAAAGTTTCTCCCAAGGTCCGCCCGAAAAATAGATAATCCGAAATAGGTTTACTAATTCTGTTTTGCTTGCTTTAGCTACCAATCTAAACCCTGCATGTAATTTGGAAATATACTTTAAAAACAGCTTTAACCTTGCATGAGCCCCCATTTTTCACAGCAATAATTATACATCGTAAAAATATTAAAATACTGCACTAATGGTCATTTTATAGTTTAAAACAGATGTAAACTAATTCAAGGGTGCTATCATGCCAGACAGAGGAGTTTTCTGACATTTTGCAATAGGTGCGCATGGTTGCATTTTTTTTGGCATGTGCATGAAGATATCAGACTTCAAATGCAGTTGCTGAATGTATGTTACCGGTGTCACAGCAATTACGTTGAGTTGCTGCTAGAACTCCTCAAATATTCGCTCTGTAACATTTGAAAGTATATGAAAGAGAAATAAGTTTGCTGTCGGTTACGAATACCATCTGATTAGTTGCGAAATCCGAATTGCGATGAAAGCGTTAACAAGGGCATAAATAGCAGCTTGTTTCGTAATATTTATGATTACTTCAAAGAGCTTTCACTATTAAAATTAATAATCATGGTCCTAAGAATTTTGCTTTCATTGCTTCTTACAACGTCTGCTAATTGTTATCCAGTTGATAACCCACAAGATCCATTCGCCGATTTGGTTAAACCGTACACTCCATCTGGAGGTATTGGCACTGATAATGAGACGGTTCCGTATTATCACCCGTTGTCAGATTTTGATTATCAGTCACTCCTTGTTGGTCTCAATCAAGAGTATATCGAATTGGATCTTTTCAACTACGGGCTCGCTAAGTTTTCTGATAAAGATTTCGAAGACGCTGGTTTAAGTTCTGCAGATCGTGAGATGATTCACTTTATGTCTATTCAGGAAGTAGGACACGCAGAATTAGTCTCTAACATGTTGGGAGAAGGGGCACCAACACGTTGCAATTATACTTACCCATTTGAAACTGTTCCTGAATTTATTGCTTTCGCTCAAGAACTTACAAGGTTTGGAGAATCCGGAGTCTATGGGTTTATGAGTCATTTAGATTCTAGAGGAGTTGCATCATTATTGTTGCAGTCAATCACTGTTGAAGCACGTCAGCAAATGATTTTCAGCCAATTTCAAGGATTGAACCCAATGCCTTTTGATTTTATTGTTGGTGTTCCACAAGCTTTTCTGTGGACATTATTGGCTCCGTATATCACTTCATGCCCAGCTTCCAATCCGAAAATCGAATTTTCTAATTTTCCAGCTCTTAAAATTTTAAATGGTCCCGATGCATTAAGTAACTCTACCGGCGCTCGACCAGCAATTTCTACTACTAATAATTCATTAACTGAACCAGGCAGAAAAGTTGAGTTTTCCTGGGAGAATCCAGGTCTACCAGTTGGGTGGATTCCAGTAGAAAATGCCAAAAACATTAACTATACCAATGCTGGAGATTATAATGGAAGTACTACTTCGGTTTTTAATGGAAGTAGCATTATAAATGATGAATCCGCTGGTGAAAGGCTTTACAGAACCAATAGTCTTAGTACGGGTCCAGCGAAGTATGCTGCATGGATTTCTCAACTCAACACTACATATACAGAACTTCACGATGTAGATCCTGGCAATACTGCTTGGACTTTGCAGCCAAATGCAACGGTGTTCCCACAAAGCAATAATACTATTGTTAATGGTACTGCTTTTGTTGTCTTGGTAGACGAAGCAATTCCTGTAACTCCATTCAACCTTACAAAAATCAACGAGCATGTCGTCGCTGGCCCCGCTCTTTATCAAGCTAGTTGAGTAGCATCCGTATTTGTTGATAAGTAAATAGATATTTCGTTTAGTATGATCCAATATAAGCTTGACTCTTCATAAGGGAAAATTATCACCGCTGAAGATGGAAGTCAAATAGACATAATGAGCACTCCCTACCATTTCCTCTTGCAGGTAGCTGTGAATAACAAAAAAAAAGGAATTTTCTGAATTTCTATTATATATGAGTATACCGATTTCTGTCGTATTGAAAAATGGTACTTGAAATCTCAACAATAGTCTTCTACAAGAGATATGTCTACACTATATGAGTCCAAAATCTACATATATTTCTTTTATAAAAGGTCGTTTACATGCGACAAAGCTGGCGTCCCTTCAGAAGGGGGTGAAGAAAACTTCGTCTGAACGAAGACCTTTTCAATTCCACCTTTCTTTTCATCAAAAGCTTGCTACAATTCCTTAAACTCATCGATTGCGAACCTATGGGTCAAAATAAACGTAAGATCGAAAAGACCTGTCTCAATGTTGTCCAACAACTCATGCCAATATTTCTGTTCAGGAGCCTGACCACATCCTCTTAAGGTGATACCTTTTTCCATTATACCCCCAATTAAAAACTGATTTGCATACCCAACGTAATCTGCAACCAAAGCTATCGAACCAAACTTTTTGGTGGACTTTATGGCTTCATTAATAATCTCAAAAGTATCTGTCTCAAGTCCAAGAGTCCGCTGAATATGAACTACTTTGTTTGAGTACCGAAATCCTGCAGCATCAATACTCGCATCCACTCCTCCGGGCACAATATCGAGGATTTCTTTAGCTATATCATACTTGGAGTTAACAACCTATAACTCGCTTAGCACCTTTAAGCTGGGCCCACCTAACCGCACACAAGCCAATTGGCCCAGATCGCGACAGTATCTCCTTTCTTAACATTGGCACAAACCACGCTATGATATGATGTAGGAACAATATCAGATAAGTATAGTGCCTTTTCATCCGGTACTATATCAGGTATCTTCAATAAGTTGTAATCTGCTCGTGGAGCACGCACATATTCGGCTTGTCCACCAGCATAACCACCAGTGAACCGCGAGTAGCCATATATTCCACTCAAAGTTGCCCCATACATCTCTTCTTGTACTTTTTATGTACCTGTTTTGTCACATATGGATGATAAATTATCTCTACAATAATCGCATTCGCTACATCCAATCTGAAAACTCGAAACAACCCTATTCCCTTCTTGAAGTTCTGAACGCTCGAACCAACATCCTCTACAATTCCACACCACTCATGGCCGAGGATATCGCCTTTTTCTAGTTGCATTATATCTCCATGATAAGGATGCAAATCAGAGCCACAAATTCTGTGTCCGTTATTTTGGCCATAACGTCCGTAGCATTAGTGATGGCTGGGATAAGTACCTTACCAACAGCGACATTTTCTTTTCCGAACCATTGCAAAGCCATCATCTCAGAATCGGATTCCTTATAATCGGTATCAACAATAGAGTTAATTGGTGCTCTCACCATTATCTGTTGAAGAATTCATTATTAGTTTGTATGTATTAGCAAATAAATTGTTCAAATCATTACAGATGATATAATCTTATATACGTCTGGAGAGCGATCAGATTGCTCCCCATGATATTGCTTTTGGTTTGTTCTCCAAATTCAAATACAATTTTACGGTTTGAGAGTATAAGAATGTGAGACCGATTGCTATTTTGCTTTACTCTGCCACTCTATCATGTCTATCTTTTGCCAATAGCTAGTGCTCATTTCACGATAACCTCATAGTGCCAAATAGAAAATGTATTAAATTTATTTTTACTAGCACTACTTCTTTTCAGTGCACACTAAAATAGGCTTTCAAAAATGCTATCGAAGACATATGCACACTAGGCAATTGATAAAATATTTCTGGTTGACCTCAGATGCCATTTCAAACATCTGAGACGTCATTTGGTTGTCTTGCTTTTGCTGGTTCACAATATCGGTGCGCTCAATTGATTCTTGTAGCATGGAGCCGAAGTATTCCGGTAATGCATTCAGAGAAGTATGATGTTTCGACTGTAGTAAACTTTTAACACAAGAAACAGGCCTAAAGAAATGATGTCTGAGATAATCAGGACGCATTCTTTGCGTCTTCGTGCATATTGTATTAACTTGTCCCACTGATACATCCTGCCGGTAGCAATAGCAGCAACACATCCCTTTAAAACGCTTTCTACTCTAGACATTATTCAAAGGGATGGCTGTTATCCAACGGTAAATACATATTGTGTGCTATCAACAAAGACACTTCTTCATTGTGCCGTCCATAATAAGCTTACTGTGATATCTATTATTCTAAGTAGTACAGCTGCATTTTTTGGCAGTAACGGATATTCGTTGTTTTACTATTTGGATTGTAAAATAGGTAGATAGTCTGTTTCTCAATGTGAATAAGTCAAAAAAGTCATACTAAAATCAGTGTTTGTTTTATGAACTTCGTAACTGTTCATAAGGGAGGGTTTTGGATCACTATTTTAGAACTCCATGAAAGTTTGTTACGCCTGATGAACCGTTGCAAAAATTTCGTCAACTTAAAGTACATAAGCAATGTCACTGATATACTAATGCCTGGCAACACCCAGAATTTTGGCCATACATTAGTATGCTACAAAAAATCAATAATGTATGCATTATGTGAATACATCATTATATCATTATATCATTTAATATATTAGCGAGCATCTTTCGCATCGGACTTCTAAAGGCCCCATAACCATATTATAATCTGAAAGAGGTTTCTGAACTTGATTCATGCATCAATCAAAATAGTATGAATCTTTCAATTTGCAGCTATGCTTCAAAAGACTTTTGGAGAGTAAGTACATTATATACTATAATTGAGATACTTTAACCGCAGTAACACGAATTTGACAAACAAGGACTTAGAAAACAATCCTACTATTTTAATGTAGTCCCTACACTAATAATATTCATTTGTTTATGCGATCTACACCAACCCTTTAAGAACCCACAAAAAATTGCAACTAAATGAACTAATGGTAAAACACGTCAACTTTGTTCAGTGTACGGATGTGGTGTAGGGAGGTTTCGCCTATATTACGCGGGATGCCGACATGAAATCGTATTCATTGCTGAGTGAAAAGATAGCTGTTATAGCTAATTAGACAGGAGTAGGCTAAATGAGTTATTCATTTGGAACAAACAAGCTTACATTTGGAAATAACAAAAAAAGCTCGTGGAAAGCTAAGAGTAAATCAAACGGATTGCCATTGTATTATAAGGACAAACCAACTAATAAGACGAACCAGAAGAAAATAATGCTTTTCAAAGGATTCATAGCGTCTTTGGTATTCTACGCAATCTATTACTATGCGTCTACAGGGGCACTTGACTTTGAATTCGGAGGAAGTAGCAAAACTTGGGCTGACAAGCAACAGGAAGTGAAAGATGTGTTTTTGGAAAGCTGGAGTTCATATGAGAATCATGCCTGGGGTAAGGACGTATATCACCCTATAAAAGAAACTGGAAGCAATATGGGGCCCAAGCCTTTGGGATGGATGATTGTTGATTCGTTGGATACATTGATGATTATGGATTGTCCTGAACAATTGGCCCGTGCCAGGAAGTTTGTCAAGGATGACCTCGACTATCATTTTGATTACAATGTCAATGTATTTGAAACGACAATTCGGATGCTTGGGGGATTGCTCTCAGCCCATCACATTTCGGAGGATGATATGTACTTGGACAAGGCCGTGGACTTGGCAAATGGGTTAATTGGTGGTTTCGACAGTAATAGTGGGTTGCCTTATGCGTCCGTGAACTTGATGACTGGCGAAGGTATCAAGAATCATGTTGATAATGGTGCGTCATCCACAGCAGAAGTGGCAACATTGCAATTGGAGTTCAAGTATTTATCGAAGTTAACAGGAGAGACTTTATTCTGGGAAAAGGTCGAAAAAGTAATGAAAGTACTTGATGAAAACAAGCCGCAAGATGGGTTGGTACCTATTTACATTCAACCTGATACCGGGAAATATCAGGGTAAGTTGATCAGATTGGGCTCCAGAGGTGATTCATACTACGAATACTTATTGAAGCAATACTTACAGACGAACAACCAGGAGCCTATCTATTGGGACATGTACCGTGAATCTGTGGACGGAGTCAAGAAGCATATGGTAAGAAAATCATCGCCAAATGGATTGACCTACATTGGGGAATTAGAACATGGAATTGGAGGAGGATTATCGCCAAAAATGGACCATTTGGTGTGTTTCTATGGTGGATTATTGGCCGTTGGGGCCACCAACGGGTTGCCATACAAAGAGGCTAAGAAATTACCAAATTGGGATGCTGATAGAGAATCTGACTTCAAGTTGGGTGAAGAATTGACCTACTCCTGCTACAAGATGTACCACGATGTACCATCGGGATTATCACCGGAAATTGCAGTATTTAACGAAAACCCAGAGGTTAAAAGTGACTTCTACATCAAGCCTCTCGACAGACATAACTTGCAACGTCCCGAAACTGTCGAATCTTTATTCTACTTATATAGACTCACAGGTGACGTCAAGTACCGTGAATACGGATATGAGATCTTCCAAAATTTTCTCAAACACACTAAGGTCACCAACGCAAAAGGTGAAGTATCTTACACCTCTTTGGATGATGTCACCCAGGTGCCTCCACCAAAGAGAGACAATATGGAATCGTTCTGGTTTGCTGAGACCTTGAAATACTTGTACTTATTATTCGACGATACTAACAAGTTCCCCTTGGACAAATATGTTTTCAACACAGAAGCACATCCATTTCCAAGATTCGATTTGGGTCTTTTACACAAGACAGACTGGACCAGAGACAAGCCTTATCTCACTTCTCCTCAAGCCAACTTCAAGCTTGCTGATCAGAAGAAACAGGACACTCCTAAGAATGATCAAAAAAACCCTCCTGAAGCTGCTCCAGCTGATAAACCCGCTATTGAAGAGGCTATGGAGGAGGCCCAAAAGAATCCAGAAATCCTAAAAGATGCAAAGGCAGAGAAGAAGGAAAAGCTAAACAAAATGTTACAAGATCTTGATTAGAATATCACATAATAATCTATTTCATGAATCGTAACCGCATGTCTATACATATTTGATTTGTATCTTAAACCTACTATATATTTATCTTACATATCTTATACCTACTTATTGTACCTACCTAGAGTCTAGTCGGATCGGGGTCTACACAAATCCGAATCACGAGATATAACGGTTGAGCTTCCGGTTTTTTTGTGTAACCTATAAGATGACGTAAATAAATTTTCTTTAGTAATCTCGTTGGTAACTAAACAACAAGGGAACTATAAGGAATAGTAGTTCGGTTGAGAGAAGAATATGTCAAGCGATGTAAGTATACAATTAAGAACTATAATACTGTATAAGGAAAAGAAAAACTGTAAAGCTAGAGAATTTATGAGGTAAAAATTATATAGTAGCGGAAGATCAATTACGTCACAGGCATCTACTAACAAATATAGCTGAAAACGTCATTTGATTTGGAACCAAATCCATTTGAAAGGTCATTTGCGACTAAAGATGGTGATAGAAGAGAGGGAGGTGATGGTGCGGAACAGAGAGGTAAAGATAAAAATGGGGAACTGGCTAATGTGGGAGAGCAGAAGAATGAAACAAACAAGCACAATTTACATATTCCCAATATCTCGACATTGGACGCAAATATCAACAGAGGACCCGCGGGGACGTCCCCATCGCTTACTCCAGGCGATAGGAAGCTTCCGCCATTAGGATTGTCACCCGGAGGCCATATAAATGGAGGATTGGGGACTCCTGGTTCGAATTTATGGAATAGTTTGTTAAATGCTACGAATAATCCAAATAGTGGAACGAATGCTGTTCCAAATAACACGAATAACGACGGGAATACTAATAATGTTGCCAATGGAACCAACACCAACCTGAACTATACTACTGGGCAAAATGGTGGCGCGCCTAATCACGAAGGTTCATTTCACCCTGGTAACCAAAATAACACCAATATTAATCAGTTTATTAGTATGCTAAGAAAGAGCGGATTAACGCCAAATGAGTCTAACTTAAGGTCCGGGTTGACCCCGGGCGGTGTGAATCATCATGGGGGAAACATGTTTGCTTTTAATAATCAATTACCTGGTTTGACCACTCCAGGAGCTTTTCTCAATAGTCCTATTACTCCTGGGCTTTCGAATTTACTAGGAATGCCTGCAAATCAAAACGCTAACCATGCAACGCAACCAACACATTCTACTATTCCACCACCTCCTAACTCTAATGCAGGTAACCATGATTATCAAAATATAAATAATTTTGATCATGGCATGCATCAGCAACGAGAACAACAACGAGAACAACAACAAGCACAGCAACAAGCCCATCAGTCACAACACCAAACACCACAACAAGCACCATCACAACTGCCGCAAGAGCAGCAGCAGCAGCAACAGCAAAAGGAACAACAGCAGCAACAACAGCAACAACAGCAACAACAACATGATCATCATCAACAACAACAACAACACGCACATCAACAACATCAATTACTGAATCAACAACCTCCGCAGCAAAGTTATGCCACGGAGATAGCAGATCATAAAGACTCTGATGAAAAATCTGGCAGTAAAAGGAAACTGAGAAATAATTCTGAAAACTCTAAGAGACTGAAAACCGATTCTGCTACTAAGACAAGGAAGTTGAAGAAGGAAGAACCGAAAGATCTTGATTTGAATGATTCCACTGTCTCACCAGATTCTACATCAAATACAAGAGGCCCTGGCGATCCGAAGCGTAAGAGCTTCTTGGAACGTAATAGAGTCGCGGCTTCAAAATGTCGTCAACGTAAGAAACAGTTGATCCAAAAGATGGAAGATGAATTGTCGTTCTATTCAACAGGATACAGAGAATTATCTGCTCAAGTAACTCAATTACGTGACCAGTTAATTAATCTTAGAGGAATAGTTATTGGGCACAAAGATTGCCCAATGTTGGTGTCTTCTGTGGGGGGGTTCGATCAATTGAATCATATTATTCAGCAAAGCAATTATGTAACTCAAGTTGCCTCTGGAAGTCAAACCAACGTCAGCTCGATGCCTAGTACTATTCCGACTACTTTGAATGCACACCCAGGTGCCATCAACTCGAACCAAGCCGTTAATCCTTACATTCTTCCAGCTAATGGACAACAAACTAATAATATTGGCCATAGTCCTGCTTTGCCAATGCATTTAACACAAGCTAGTGCCGATCGCTCAAGTACTAATTCAACCACAAATCCATCGACGGATACTTTGAACACAACTGCGTCTATTAATTACCCTAGCCACGGCCAGCAAAACACCATCGCTAGCCACCACAGTCTTTCGGATTTGCCTGCAGCTGCTGCTCAGAATTTGAACCAGCCAAATAATCAGCCTCCTAATACAGGCGACTTAAGAACCATCCATAGCATGTCTAATATCGCAGGCATGAACAACAACGGTGACAAATTGCAGGGTATGGGTAATTCTAACTTCAACCTCAGACCCGTTAATAGTATGATTGATCTCAATCAACAACATATCCCACAACAAGCCCATCAACAAAACTACGGTAGCAATATGGTAGATCCAGTTGCAGTCGCTACAAGAAATATGTTAGGCTTATCTCAACCCCAATCTTAAAGTATTTTTGTATATTAATATATTGATAGATCAGATGAATATGTACAATTTTTGTAGCTATAAAATGTGATTTTAACACTAGAAGCCATCCAGTAGTTTCGGCTAACATGAGTCGTTATGTAACTTAGGGACGTATTATAGAGGCTCTGATTCATTTCACAAGCCATAGATTAGATCTGGTGTATATACTGAATCACCTGATTAAATATTTATGTCCTACACCGCGCCATAAAAACGCCAAATAAACAATTGATCTAGACTAACCATAAATTAGCGGTGACCAAATAGGACTACGATATGGTTATAAGTAGAAATCGGATGGAAGATATGGAACTTCCAGATATTCCTGGTTCAAATGCTCGAAATAATGAAAGAACTATCATAAAATCCGACCAATTTACAAGAAAAAAGCTTCGAGGTATTTTACACCTCATCACTGGAGAACTAAAAAGTCGTGGTACTAAGACACCACATATCTTCTTACCGTTCAGGTCTAGGATAGATGATACGAAGCTTGAGTTATTTATTTCCAAAATTTTTCCTCGGGGGGAACTTATCGGTATGTATGACGAGATAGAGGTGGTTGAAATTTTGAGAAAGTTCGATGAATTCACGTTGATTTGTGGGTTAAAATACTTGTGGAGTAGGCTACCAAACAATGAAATCATCGGATGGGACGTCTACCTTGAATATAAGAGAAAAGAGAAGGAAGCAGGGTATCCGAAAGGTGCATTTTTGAGTATTATGCCTAAGTGCTTATCATCACCGGCACATGCGTCGATTGTTTACGATTTTCTTGATTTATTGATTAGTATTGCTTCAAATTCACAATATAACTACTTGAGTGGCAGAAAGATAGCTAAGATGTCAAGTTTATGGGCATTTAATGGTTCTACGAAACCTCATCAATCTCCATTCTACGATGCTACACTAAGTAAGGAAAACACTTTTATAGACGGATTGGAATATTGGAAGCCTTCATCTGAAGCGTTATTCCACTTATTATTGTCATTTTTAAGGGCAATGCTTCCTGACAACGAATCAGACACCCTTAAGCTTCCAAAGACATTGCAATCGTTATTAATTACAAATTCTTATCCACCATTGGAAAATACCGATTCAATCAAGTCTATAATAACTATCCCCTGTGTGGTGATAAAATCAACCAAGGTATCATCTAATGTTTACGAGTTATTAAGTAAGGTTAGAAATACTATTTCTTTCAGCAAAAAGGATTCATTCTTGTCGATGGAAAATTATACGATCTTGAAGAATATCTTCCAAAAGTCTTCAACGAATGAAATAGTATCTTCATTAACAGAAGAATCTAGGAGAATTTTAACTAGGTTAAATTCAGACCCGATCGATTCCAACTATGATTTATATCCTGGATGGTCCAAGCCAGATCTTGTCACCGATCCAAATATACCATTATTCTCGCAAATTAACATTGAAGATGTTTCCTTGCAGGATTATTACATCTGGACTTGGCTTTCTTCTCTCGCATCAGATCAGACATCGCATAATAAAAAACTATTTGGAAGGTCAATTGTGGTGGAGGCAAGCCTAAAGGGGTTTCAGAAATGGTTGATAATTACAGAACAGGTTCTTGATTCTGAGGAATACATAAGATATTTCAATGGGCCATCACTTGAAAATAATAAACGTATTATAAGTAATGAAAGTTATAAAGATATGCCATTACCTCCTCCACCACCACCCTCAAAAGATAGTGATTTGTTGCCAAAATATAGGTTTACTGACGATGACTTTAAAATACAAGTTCTGGCCGATGATGATGAATACATTTATCCAACCCAAATTAACGATGACGAATTAAGTGATTATAGGAAATATCTTGAATCGCTAAGCGAACGTCAGGAAGATGAATTGGCAAGCATTTTCCATCAAAAAGCTAGCTTGAAAAGTACCGATAAGAAGGCGACTCATAGACCTCCACCACCACCGTTAGATGCAAAGGAGGTAAGCGATAGACAACAGTATCAACAAAATCCAACTCAATTGCATTCTCCACAATATGACTCACCATCTCAATCTTACCAGCCTCATTTATATGAAGCAGAACCATATCAATCTCATCAAACAGAACTGATGCCACCAGGTCAAAATAATTTGAATACTACTATGCGTGGCTCTAAAAACCTATCATCATCAAGTGCTGTCAGTTCAAGTGCATCGCAGTATATGACTCCGGAGGGATCAAATTCACCGCGTAAAATAAATGCAACTAGCCCTTATTTTGCCATAGGTAATTTTCCCCCCAATCATCGTAGTGATTCTGGGTTCAAAGAACCTTATGAAAATTATGAAACTGATTCTGAGAGGCTTGCAAGATTAAAAAATCAGAAAGCTGAAGAACCGTATGATGATTATCATATAGCTGGATTTAATGCGGCAAAACGTGAATACGAACAATCAAGAGAAATGGACGACCATCAGTCTCCTGGAGCAGTCGGTAATCGTATTCCAACAAGACAAGTTAATAATCACATAGCGCACGAACCAATCAACATTGCTTCATCGAGCCCTCAAAATAGACATATGTCACCAAGCCCAATTAGTAAAGATATTCCGCAAGTGCCAGTTAATAAAGATATTTTACAAGCGCCAGCTAATAATGAGTCACACCACGGTCCAACTGAACATGGCCTACCACCAGTACCACAGCAAATGGAAATTCAACATCTTCCTGATGAAAATAATGAACAAGGTCAGATGAAGGATAGTTATATGCCACCAGTAACAAACCATGATCCAATTAAAGTACACTTTAATCAACCACCAAATGTAGACGAAGATGCTATGAAAGAGGAAAAGAAAAAAAAGAGAAAGCATAAAAAGCGGAAAGACCAGCAGTCTCCAGTTCACAAGAATGGACTGTTCGATCCTCATCAGGAGGCATTTTATGGAAGTTTGCCGCCAGGTCCACCACCACCTTTAGAACAATTTCTTCCAGGCCAGTTACCTCCGGGACCTCCTCCGCCAGGCATGGTTCCACCTTTTCTAGAACCAAATTCTTCTGGAATCCCACCTTTTTTTCCACCTGGCCCTCCACCAGGAATGGAAGAACCACCTAAGGAGTCGTCGAGCCAAAACAAGAAGAAGGAAAAAGTCAGAAAGAATAAAAAAGTGGTAGCACAACGACAAGAAGAAGGTGTAATTAATCTGAGCCTGATGCCCATAGAGCAAGATGAGAAGTTGAATGATACTAAACCTCAATTGCACTTCGATCCACATGAGAAGAATGCAGATACAATCAACCCACAACCAGGTCTTGATAATTATTCACCCGAATCACCACAAAATCAGGCTGACAGATATAACCCAAGAAAGATGTCACCACCAAATAATTTTTCTGCGCCTGATTTACATCAGCATGTTCCACCCCAAAGCATACCACCTCAGCATTCGTCGACTCCTCATATAAAAATAAACAACGAATATCAAAGTGTCCCCCAACGCGCGAGAAGACAAAGTCCACCGCAAGTTCAACAATTTCATCAACCCGGGCATAATCATGTTCAGCAAATGCTGCCAAGCGCTGTGCATGGTTCACGATCTGTACCTCATATAATGTCTCCTCCAATCCAACATCCAGGATCACAATCAGCACCTCATTTGCCGATGCAACCAGATTATACAGCTCAACCTCAAATGCTGGTTCCACATATGAGAAGTAATAGCCCTTATAATAACGGTCATTCTCATAATCAGCAATTTCGTCATCCGCATGGACACCCGCCACCTGTCCAACACCAACCTTATCAACCTACAAATAATCTGTATGCGCCGCCACCTCCAAATCCAAATTATTATCAACCGCCTCCTAATCATGATCCAAATATGGGCCATTACCAATCGCCACCTCCTAACAATTCAACGCCCATACATCCTCAGGTTTATTATCCTCCAGGTCCTCAGCATCAATATTATCCACCACCACATCCGCAAATGATTGCACCACAAAGGACGCATGCAAGACCATACGGGCAACCACCTTCGAATAATTTGCCAATGATGAATATACCAGCAGGCGTGAAACATAAGAAGAATGGAAAGAGTAGTAAGGCCGATTTAAGGGCTGCCTTTAATCAAAGCACTTTTGGAATCTGATTATTTATATATTTATATTTAGAAACTCGTTCATTGTATATAAACAAAGACTTTTAAGCAAAGCGAACAACACTATACATTTAAGCATAAAATTGTTTGAAATAGAATCAAACATATATATATATATGTTTACAATAAATAAATGAATAAATAATGAATAAATAAATAGGAATAATAAATAATAAATAATAAATAAATGTCATAAATAAATAAATAAGTAAATATAAATAGGAAAATAATAACTAGTAGAAATGCCAAAATATTAAATAAGGACAGTCATAGTAGTATAAGAAGAATTGAATACAAGCCTAATATTCAGATAATCTTAATTTCTTGCCAATTTCCCTAACCGAGAAACCACTGTTATTTCTGTTAAGGAAAGGAGGTTCAGGACTAGGACCTCTCGATTTCATATCATTATCACCCATGTCGAAGTAACCATAACCACCTAATAAATTAGATACTGTTGACTTCTTTTGAACCAATGATGGTCTAGGAGCCAGTAATTGTGTAGTCGTTTTAATCTTGGTATCGATTGGTGATTCAATTTGTTCCTTACTAGACTCTTGAAAAATGCTATAAATCTCGTTCAAGTACAGCTCTAAGGTAACCAAAAATCTTTCAGTTTGTCTATGTTTTGATGCAGCACATATCGAAATAGAATCGTCTTTAATAATATATGCCAATCCAAACCCGTTAGCCGATACTGGACCGAAACCAAATAACCTCAATGCTGGGTTACCACAGTTTGAAGTAGATAAAACTGTATTATTCAACTTATCCCAACCCGAGTCAGCAAATATAGATGGTAATTCAGTTAAATCGTTCTTACAGTTGTTATAATTATTACCAATTGTAGTGTCCGAAGAATGGGTTTCATTGTCATCGTCAACAAGTGTCAGTATGGAAGATCTTTGATTATCAAGAGTGTCATGCTCTAAGTCTATCGCTTTGTAGTCACTAGAATCAACGTATCTTTTCCAAATGCAGAAAAGTGCATATAAGTGCCTGTCAATTCCTTTACCCATAGAACTTTGCTTGGTCTGTTGAGCGTGCTTTGTACATGCACTCGTTAAGTATGAAAGCTTGTCTTTATTTGATACGGTCAGATCAAAAAACTTACGAACAAACAAGTTTGACTCTTGAGATACGGTTCTAACAGCTTCAGTTCTGCCGTGAAAAAAATTCTTTGTCATAGCTGGCTCATAAGTGCATTCAACCTTACCATATAAAGCGTAATAAGTGACTTGAAATGCCATTTGAACAAAAGCATCAGGACTGTATTTCATTTTTTTAATAGTTGAGGAACCGTAATTCTTGAATTCCAAATGTTTGAACTCATTTTGATTAATCAAATCCGATAATCTAGTTTCCCCGAATCTTAATGCCAAAGATAAATCCGGAGTTAGCTCCCATTCCAATTTTCTCGGAATTGTAACTAACTCTTGATCAAAATCATTCTTTGACGACGAATCATCACTCCACAATGAAGGGGCGTGGCCATTGATGGACTGTGCAAACGATAAGATAGAGTCTGTATAGATGTCACTTACAAACCTTAAAACTGTGTGACCATCAACACCTGTGTGTTCGAAGTTAATACCCGCTTTACCATTTTGGGTGACGATTATTTGTAATTTATCATACCATCTGTTGGTACAGGTACCAACCTGGACTCCCTTATCTAATATTGACAATCCACACAACATGTTCTTAGCCAAGTCTGACAAGTTTTCTAATCTTAAGTCATCAAGACATAAAACGAATAATGCAGAATCAATAATGCTCAAAATTTCGTTATTATTAGCGTTGTCGGTGATAGTACCGCTGTTTCTTATTTTGGCCCAAACTCTTCTATTTTCGGTAGTCAATACCCCAAAGGAAGATTTAGCAATCTCGCTGATCGATGTATTTAATGAGTCTTGAATGATGGATGTGAAATTGACAATCAACTCCAGCTCCGACAAGATCAAATTGTTGTTCTTGTCCAACACGTCAAACCAATAGAATTGCGACTTGCTCATGACAACTATGTGGTTCGAATTAACATCTGTTTGCATGACACAACCATCGTCGGTGGGAATTCTCGACGCCCCAAATAACTTAGAATACTGGTACATGCAAAGAGGTTGGCCGGTTCTGGTCTTGTCCACCAGCAAAGTTTCGTTTTTTAAGGCCCTGATGAACTTCAACGACGATAATGTCAACGATGCAGCTCTCTTGACCTGTGGATTGACACTCATAGACTCGTTATGGAAAGGGTCATCTTCCAAAAGAAAGAATGGATTTAAATTCAACACCACAGGCGAATCATAGTTCAAGTATGAATCGTACCAGAACTGCTCAATATAAGAACTACGTCCCTCACTGTATTTCCGAAGTTCTTTATCCAAGTATTCTCCGTTTCCTCCTAGTAAAAACAGTCTAACAGCCTCCTTGGTTCTTTCATGCTCCCTTTCCGTTTGTAATGGTTCTAAAACATTCAAATAGTTCTTGCATGTTTCTTGTAAATCTGGTATTGGTAACTTTTGAAGTTGATCTTGGTATTGGTACGTCATCTTATTTATGTCCCACTTTTTCTGACAAAATAGTTCCACTTTAATACCTAGTATTTTTATCAATTATTCAGGACAAATTTGTGGGACATTTATTTCTTATATATTTCTTCACCATGTACATGCAAAATCTGGGGTCGTATTGTATCTAGTATGATGTAATGTAATTGGTTGACGGCCATTTGATCATTCAGAGCAAAACTCCGAAGTGGTGCATGGACCGATCATCACGGGAATTGTATAAGTTAAGGAATCCGGACATAAATTACATTGTTCTATTGCTTCCGTAGTACCATATTACGAGCACCTTGGGACCATTGCGGGTCCGGAGATTACATCAAACTATTGTTCTTAAAAACGAGGAGTGTATATTTAGTGTATTCAAGATAATATTGTATATTATGAACAAATGAGCATTGTTCGGTATGTAAGCTTAACCTTAAGTGAGAACGCTAAGAATTCGTTAGTGTACCAATTGCCTTTGTTGACGAATGGATAAGGTACGGTACAACTTGGATAGACGGGTAGGGCGGGCGTACGTTCGTGTCATATCGGGCAAGCAACTACAGGCAGACAAAGTAACAAACAAAAATTAGACAAAGCATCAGACGATTAAAAATGGCACGGAGTTACGGATAACCGGAAATATAGAAGCCACCACTACGACAGAGTCTAGTAGCCATCAGCCTGGCCTCGCTTCCTCCAGTAGTCAGAAACACCGTGCCATTGGGAGTCGTGGTCTAACAATGTGCGCTTGATACCGTTCATAGCTGTAAGAGGGCCGGATGAGAAGAAGTCATGACCCAATTCGTGCATCCGCTCCGTGATGTTGTGATGCAGCTCGAAGACCGTCAAATTCTCGACCATGATGTATTGAGGGATTAATTGGTGGTGCAATCTGGGGTAGGCGATGGCTTCCAATAAGGGTAACTTCTCGCACAAGATGCGCACAATAGCTTGGAACACGGCAGTGGTGATCCGCGATCCGCCAGCTGCCCCTATAACCAAGTCAGGCCTGAACGTGTCGTTAACAAGTGACATGATGATAGTGGGCGATGTCGACGATAAGGGACGTTTAAATGGTTCGATGTAATTGTACACTGACGGAGATAAGTAGAACGCATTCGGCGCACCGGGTATTGAAAAATCATCCATCTCATTATTCAAAATTATGCCCGTCTGGTTATCGTACACCATGGAGCCAAATACTAGATTTACGGTGGTAGTCATAGCCATTGTATTATCATCGGAATCTATGATTGAAAAGTGAGATGTTCCATGTGGCTCAGTAAGCTCATATTTTGGGCGATAATGTTTCCACGGAAAAGTATTGTTATCTGAGTATGCACCGCTGGTTATGATATGTTCGGCCCATTTGTCTGACGTATATTGTTTAATCAAATCTTCTCTGAAAGTGCTATTGGACGTAGGCAACGTGAAGTCACCGAAGTTTGATCTTGCACTAGCCATCCATTTCATACACTCTATTATTTTGTGTGTCTGTAGTACATGATCGTTACTTCCACCAAGCTTTTCATACAAGTTTAACCCCGATAATAGAGCTAATCCAGAAGAAACACCGCCTGAAGTGTATACTTTGTATGTTTCATTGTGTACAGTAAAATTTAGGGTTAACGCATTCTCTACCTTTACATCGTAGTTAGAGAAGTCTTCTGCAGTAATAATGCCACCAAACCTGGAGCTAGTCTCTATTAAACTCTTCACAATTGGCCCATTTGGGTCATAAAACACATCAGACGAGCCGTTTTGAGCTATCATGGATAAAGTATCGGCTAATGCAGGCCTCGTGATAAGATCACCTTCATCAATGAACGGTTTGCTCTTAGTATTATTCTTAAATACAAAGTCCCAGTCTTCTGCAAGACTCGGTAAGAAGGGAAATACCAATCCCATTTGGAATTTGATTGCTCTGTCCAAAATCTCCGAACATTTGAATCCCTTTTTGTTCAACTCAACTACTGGCTCTATTAAAGCTTCCCACGATAGATTACCCGAGCCATGTCTAATGTACAATTCATACAACCCTTTCAATTCCCCGGGCACTCCAATTGCTAGTCCCCCAACCTTGGATAAAACCATACTCTTGTGGAACATTTCTTTGAATGCTTTCTGCGGAGCCGTTTCTCGGGCATCAATGCTGATAACTTCTTGCTTTTCCTTCAAACTACTCACAATATAACCTCCTCCACCAATTCCGGACGAATGCAGGTTAACACTACCGATACAGAGAGCTACCGTGACTCCAGCATCGGCTGCATTACCTCCCCTCTGTAGGATTTCTTTTCCCATGGTCGAGCAAAGCGGAACATCACTACTCACCATGGCCTTGGATCCTATCCGAAGATGGTCGTTCGACGGATATAATGTTGGTTGTCCTATGGGATCTCCAACAGGATCGCGATTAATGTTATAGAATATACTGTAATCAAATTCATGCTGTCTAACTGGCTTCATGACAAGCCACCCAATACCAAATAATACAAAGGTTAATACAACATATCTTCTAAAATTTCTAAACTTCTCCAGGGACTGATCTTCTATACCCCTTCTTCTCTTTTCTAGTGCCACCATGTTAAGTAATAGCTTAGTATCAATCTATTTCAAAATGAATTATCATCTTATCGGAATACTATTCGGTATCAGTGATTTTTATATACACTCCAATATCAAAATTCTTTTTCTCTTGAAATATATTACTAGAAGAGGTAGAAGATAGATTGTAGGTAGCAGAGCATAGATTGTTATCGTTAGAGTTAGAAGAATTAGTATTTGTTTAAATTCTAAGCCATAAAGAATGTGCTCGTAGAAATGGGCACTAATAATAAGGAAAAACATAATGAAAAATTATTAAACGAAGAAGATGACTTAATTAATAATATACTTCCATCGTATCATATGCACCAATCTACCATTTCGAAGAATTTAACACCTACAAATGAAAACTTTCGTGTAGATCCACCCATGTATGAGATGACACCAGTCAATTCTTTGTCAACTACTCCATCTGTGGGTATGTCGGCCATACAGTCACCAACTTCAAATTTATCAGTCGATGAATTTCCGTTTCCAAACCAGGAAATTGACCTGGGACTTGAAGGGGGACCGAACATCTGGGAGAATACTATATTAGCAAATGTTCATAAATTACCTAATTTGAATAGGTCGGATAATAAAATTTGTCAAGATTTGGAGATCGACATGAAGGTGACAGAAAAAGTATGTCAGAAAGGAGTCAAGCCAACCATTATAGATCCTCTGAAATACGAATTTAAGCAGGGTGATTATATCCATGGTTACGTTACCATGAAAAATAAGTCGCCGGTGCCCATACTGTTTGATATGGTATATGTTGTATTTGAAGGTACGCTAGTCGTGCTTGAGAATAATCGGGGATTAATGGACGTTAAGAAGCCTTCCAAAGTTCACAAGTTTTTGAATATGCTAGATTTATTTGCATCGTGGTCGTATGCCAATATCGCTAGATTGGCAACTGATGATGGAGATCCTCATGATTGGTGTCATGGAGAAACAGACCCTTATGATAATACCGTTTTATCTATCGATGTTAAACGTTTTTTCCAACCCAATGTTACATACAAAAGATTTTTCACATTCAAGATTCCAGAAAAATTACTAGATAACACATGCGAAGAACATACGTTTTCCATCCATACAGAAATACCTCCTAGCATAGGAATTTCAAGAACTTCAACCACACCATCGTCATTATTAGTTAACAACAATGGGCAAATCAAAGATTTTTCCATATTGGACACTTCTATAAGCTATAGTGTTAATGCGAGGGTTATCGGGAAAGCATCAGACTATAAGCACTCGTTGGATCGGGATCAGTATGTAGTTGCTAAAGAAGCCACATGTAACATTCGGGTAATTCCACAAAGTAGCATGAATTACATTCATTACACCAATTCAAGAAACCAAGGAAATATTCTTTACTACAAGGCATTTGTTGATTCGATTAAGAGCAAAATAGAATATGGAAATGCTTTACTAAATTTGCCAAGCGAGCAACGAGATACACCAGACATTTCACCCCTGGTATCTAGAGATGGATCTTTCGTAAAACTAAGACAATTATATACTATGGCTGATCATGAAATAAAGCGAGAATTAAGGCCCTCTACAAAGCAATTTCTGGATGAAATCTACCAATGCCTTGCTCCGTTCAAAAGGAAATCATTGACTGGTTCATCGAAAACTTTGGGAGTCATCTCCTTATCCACGCCTAAAGAGGATTATAGAACATTATATATACCTCCAGTGAAATTTAGAAAGCCAAATGAACTATATGATAATACCAAATTGACGATACCATTAGATATTTCATACTTTCACACAAAATCATCATCTGGTAAGGAGGTCCAGCTTCCGGAAGTCAAATATTTGAAAGTTGAATTAGTGACTCTTACGATGAGATCACTGAAGTACCCTATTCCTTTAGAATTCACTCACGAAATGTGTTTTAAAGAGCAAGAAATATATGATAAAAAACAAGAACCTGAAAATTTCGATTCTATATTAATAAAACAGTTCCAGTCATATTTATTTAAGTTGAAAACTTTACTCACTACTTTGGGAAGCACTATATTCAAAGTAGAGACTCTGCTAATGAAAGATATAAAGTCTCTTGCCACCTTATCCACAAAATACATTAATTTGCAGATTCCAAAATACCAACTCACTATGAAATCACCTAAAAGCCATAGTTCGCATAATTCCATAGCCACTATCCCTTGGGAGCAAGTGAAATCTACACATGACGACTATTCTCTATATTCTAAAACTTTTGACCTCCATATTGATTTGAAGGATTGTCAAATGAAAGGTCCAACATTACATCCACCACCCGGAACCAGCTTGGATCATTTAACGTTAGTACCAACCTTTCAAACTTGTTTCATGTCGAGATTGTATTACTTGAAAATAGGTATCAAAATAAATACTGGCGAGTTATTAACAGTTAATGTGCCAATGCATATAGAAAACTGAGCATATAGAAGAATATACAATTCCTTTACCGTAAAAGTACCGTAAATACCCAGCCGCACTTCGGTAGAATTTCAGTTTTTCCTAATTTCATGATAAATTCATGATATCAATAAACCACCTTTATTGTTATTGTACATACATAAGACGATTCCAATAGAGACTTGGTTAAGGCAGAAGCTAGTAGCTGTATTGGTTTTTGACTTTTCTTATAGATTCTTGATAGGATGGATGACAAAGGATCTAATAGGTATAATTTAAGACTATCGTCATTGTCGCAAAGAGATGGGAAGAAAAACTTGAACCACAGAGGAGATGAAGAACTTTTGAATATCTTACCCTCGTATCATATGTATCAATCCACGATATCAAAGAACTTGACACCGTCTCATGAAGATTTCCGAACAGAACCACCAAGTTACGAAATTACGCCGATATCCTCGGTCGCCTCGTCTGAGGCCTCGAGTGTTAATGATTATTTTATGGATATTTCCTTGCCTACGTCTCCCACGAATGCCAATGAGGAAGAAAATGAGGAAGAAGATTTAGTATCTATCGATAATACCATTTTGTCGAATGCTCATAAGTTGAAGAGATTAACGGCCATGAATAAAGAAATCTCCAAGGATTTGATAATTAATATCTATTTGACTGAAGAAATTGGAAAAATAGGTGTGGCACCTAAACTTGTAGATCCATTGTCCTTGGAACTTAAACAGGGAGATTACATTTATGGTTTCGTAACGGTCACTAATAAAACAAAGCACAACGTTCCATTTGATATGTTTCCGGTAGTGTTTGAAGGAGCCTTGACATTAGGTAATAATAATAGACCAATTGTACAACCGCCAGTAAACATTGTCAGATTCTTGACTATGTTTGACTTTAATGCTTCGTGGAACGATGGGAGTCTTGATAGGTTGGTATCAGACAATAATAATCCGCATATTCCTAAAAATGACGTTGATCCTTACGACAATACCCAAATTCAATTGAATCATAAAAAAATATTCGAGCCTAACGTCACCTACAAAAAGTTCTTTACATTTAAGATACCTGATAAGTTGTTAGATAGTAGTTGTGAACCTCATGGTTTAGTAAAACATATTCAAGTTCCCCCCACTCTAGGTATTTCAAAAAATGAAGTCATAAACTCATTAAGAAGAAAATGGAGAGACAGTTCAGATGACGCAGGTATAGCGTCACCAAGGCCCGATGATAGTGATATAGGAAAGAACAAAACTCAGTATGCCTCGCTTACGAATGATTTTGCATTCCCAGATACTGCAATAAGTTATTGTATTAGTGCCAGGATTATAGGAAGATCAGTAGGTTACGAAAAATTATTTTTGAAAAACCAACTACCTCTGAACCCAACTGCCGATGAATACGTAGTTGCAAATGAGAATTACTGTTACTTGAGGTTAGTTGGGGACGCTGACCCAATTTTTGAACTTAATAGATCTATGATGACTGAAGAGGCTAAATTAATATATTCAAACATGGTTGACAAAATAAAGGAATACATTAGTTTGGCAAAAGAGATGTCGACACTTTCTATTGATGATAGAAGTTCAACTTCTTTATTACATCCTACTTCTAGTGCAACAGAAATAGCAAAAATGCGCCAGTCATATTACTCAAAAATTAGTCCTACAAGACCTAGAGAGAATGTTTACGAAATATTCTTGCTGTACAGGAAGAAGTCAATTCTTGGAACAAATAAAATAATCGGTCTTGCTGCATTGTCAAGTCCAAAAACGCATTATAGAGTACCATATGTACCTTTGTCAAAATTCAGAAAACCAAATATACCAGTCCCCTCTACCAAAATCAATATTCCGTTGGATCTTACGTTTATTTATTCAGAAAATCACAATCAGCTCCCACCAGACTTCAAGCATATATCTGTTGAACTAATTGCATTGAATATCAAGTCTAAAAATTTACCTATCCCTGTGGTATTCCATCACGATATGCTTTTTCAAAATAAAAGTAAAGGCTCGGACAACTTTGACTATATAACTATTAAAATATTCCAAAAATATGCGATAGAGCTATCAAAAGTTCTCAAAGATGTTAAACATGATAATTTAGATTTAGATAAAAATTTAATACGTGATGTCAAGTGTCTTGCTAACCTTTCATCGAAATATGATTATTTCAAGGTTTTGGATCCGAAGGTGTCTGCTATTAACTCTTCGGAGGAACTAAACTTAATATCATCAATTCCATGGGAATCTGAAAGTTTGATTACAAGATCTCCAGCGGATACAGTTGAGGAACAGGTTAAATATACAAAGAAATTCAATGCAGTTATTGACATATCAAATGCAGCCTTAATTCCAACTGGTTCCAAGGACTTCTGCTTGATACCTGATTTCCAATATTGTTTTACAGCTAGACTTTATTACTTGAAAATAAAACTCAAGTGCCCTAATGGCGACAAGATGGTCCTTAAAGTGCCATTAATACTCCAAAAAGAAAGAGAGTAATATATTTAAATTTGCATAGCATATAGTTCTCATAGATATATTTTTCGCATGTTGCAATCTCTGCGCAAAATACAAAAAATTTTCCAACCATATGTAAAGAGCATTTCATTAAGTCAACTTGTGTTAACCATGACTGAAGAATTTATATCCGAGTGGGATAAGAAAAGATATATCCCAAAGCCGGGTGAACCAACTTTGCCCCCTCAATTGTCTGAACTTGCTGATAAATCTGCAGATGATGTCATAAAAGAATTGAATAGGTTGCCATTTTTCATGACTGAATTAGACGAAACCGATGGTGAAGGAGGAGAAAATACTAATTTAGAGGCACTTAAAAGTTTAGCATACGAGGGTGAACCTGACGAAATTGCTACGAATTTTAAAAACCAGGGAAATGATTGTTACAAAGCTAAACAATATAAGACGGCAGTGGATTACTATACAAGAGGTTTAGAAATGGACTGTGGAGTTGACTCGATTAACTCTGCATTATATTTAAATAGAGCTGCTTGTAATCTTGAATTGAAAAATTACAGAAAATGTATTGAGGATTGTAAAAGTGTTTTACTTATAGACGAGAAAAATGTTAAAGCATGCTACAGATCAGGTAAAGCTTTCTTTTATGTTGAAAGATACGATGAAGCCAAGCAAATATTTCAATATGGATTGACCATAGACTCCGATAATAAATCTATTAAAGATGCGTATCAGCAAGTTATTGATAAGGAAGAAAAAATTGCGGCCGCAAAGGTCAAGAAACAGAGAGACGAAGAAGAAAAACAATTGAAAAAAGTTCTATTAGTAAATGCTATTAAATTAAGACATATTGAGATGATAAAGAGCGCAAGGCCTATTGAATTACTTGAGGATGCTAAAATACGATTAGAGGATCCAATGGATCATGAATCACAATTGATTTTCCCATCAATGATTTTGTATCCTACTACAGACGAATTCGATTATGTTGCTGAAATTAGTGAATTGAGCACACCAACAGATATTTTGCAAGTTGTTTTAGATAGGCCAAAAGAATGGTTCGAAGATCCTAAACATGAAAATTTCACTCTCAAGAAATTACAATGCTACATGGAAACTGTATCAGGAGGCTTGGTCAAGGTTGGTAAGAATGTGGCCGTGAATAACGCATTAATGTCAGATAAACCAAAGGCACCATTATTTGACAATGCTTTAAGGTTGTATGTAATCCCAAAATCTGACTCTGAAGAATGGTTATCTAAGTGGAATAAAGATGTTGCTTTGGCAAAACGTCAAATTTTGAAATAATGAAATACATATTATTTCGGTTGTACATTAAGTATTTATGTTATAGGTACATATTTACAGTGATATATATATATTATAGGTGAGCGGGATCTTTGTAGCCCATCTTGATTGCATACTCTGTAGCTTCACGTTTCCTTTGTTTTTCGTCTGGTGTGAAGTTTGAAGGAGAGGACTTACCACGGTATCTTGAAGCCAGTGACTCGAAGATTTCTTCTATATTTAAACGAGGAACTTCTCCGAAAATTGTAACTGGATCTATGGTTCTATTTTGCATTACAATTTTATGTAACTGAGGAGTTTCAGCCCAACTTTGTAAGACTTTGTGAGACTTGTTATCCTCATCGTCAGTCGGAATATCTGGCAAAGTATCTTCTGCAGTTTGTACTTTTCTATCTTTAGCAGGTGTTTTAGGATCCGTAAAAATATCATTTGTTTTAAAATTAGTATTCTTATGTGTTGCCTTCTTATCGCTATTTGAAATTCTGCTAGCCTTTTTTTCAAGGATCTTTTGTTTACTCAATGTATGTTGTCTTGATGGAGTCTTACCTTCAACTTTCGAACGTTTGGAATAATCCTTGGATTCCGAATTATGAGTTGAACTATTCTTTGTACTTTCTGGCAAGGTCGTTAGATTTCCATAGTTTGATTTATTTCCTGGTTTCAGGGCCTGCTGTGTTTCTGTAATATCATTCAAAAAATTAGAGGACCTTTTTCCTTCGTTTGTTCTTTCGTGGTTAGGGGTCTCACTTTTTAAAACAGATGAGGGATTTGACTGTAACTTGGTATCTAATTTATGATTCATTGCGATCATAATTTTTTGTCTGGGTTTCTGGGCAGCCGCTTCGCTTCTCTCTGCCATTAGAGATTTTTTCTTCAACGATGGAATGTTAGAGAATTCAAGCCTCGAGGGAATTCTTGTTTCTCTCATATCCTGCTCGTCATTTAGTGGAATTGACTTTTTCAAGGGAGATGGATTAGATTTATTCGATGTCTTGATTGGGTTGAATTGTGGTTTCGTTGGGTTAAGAGTTGTAGTAAGGAACTTATTCTTACTTGAAATAGCGTTGTCGGGCTTTTTACCTTCTTGAGTCTTTCTGGACGGAGTTTTGACATTCTTAGCTGCGCTAGCGCTGGTAGGAACCATAAGTCTATTAATCAAATCTACTTCAGCTTTTCCTTGTATGGTTTTAGGTTCAATTGAATTCTTGGAATCTAAATCGATATTATGAAGTCTTGAAGAAGCTCTAGAATTAGTCTCAGATGATGCCTTACCGTACAGCTTAGTCGGCGACCTAGATCCTTGTGTGCTAGACATGGTAGAAGTTCTCACGGGTGATTTCGTACGTTCTCTTGTTAGTATATTCAATGACAGCTTAGCTGGGGATCTTGAACTTGATTGCCGGTTAGGCGAGCCAGTATTAGTCGAGTAGCTTGCAGAATCGTATTGTAAGCCGACGGATTTTGGATTACTCATAAATACATTCCTAGCACGGCGGAGAACAGATCCGATCGAATTAATAACAGGAGATTTCGAAGGCGAACGACGACTAATGCTTTCTCTATGTTTCACATCTTCTATTTCATCATCCTCAACAAGAGCAGGTGCATTGCGGTCAAGAAACAGATTCAATATCTTCTCAGTATTTTCAGAAGCTTTTCCCGATAAGTTTTCGGGCACGGGGACTTTTGTTGCATCCCTTTTATCAGACTTTACATCAAATTGAGGTTCTGCACTCTCTTCCAATTGATGAACAACCTTAGTGGCTGCATTTGACTGCTTTTTCGAAAACTGCTCTTGTACATGCCAATTGGTTTCCTCGTCTTTTATCTCTTCTTTCGGTTTTACAACTTTAATTGGATCTTCCTTGGGTTTTATATTGTCATTTAATAATGGCCTTGCAGATGACCTTCTCTTCAAGCTTTCTTTTATATATGTAGAATTGAATCCTGCCTGGCTTTCCGTATCTCTTTGTAACTTACGTCTCTTTAATGTTGTCGGAGATAGGTTTCCTGTAGTGCTATTGCTATTATTTTCATTTCTTGATGCTATTTCTAATTTTTCGAACACTCGCAGGGACCGGCTTTTGATATCAGACATACCTTTGCCAGAATGATTTGATGATGAGCTGATTGTTATAGGTTCACGAGAAGGTAACGATACAAAGACAGATGCACGCTTAGGAGTTTTACTCATAGACTTTCTTACCGAAGCTGGGTCCTTCTTCAATGGTACAAAAATGCTTCCAGCGTCATTCAGATTCCCATGAGATAATGCACCAATAGTGGCTCTATTATTAGGCCTCAGCGTATTTTCCAGGACATTAGCCTGCTTTATTTTAGGTGTATCAACGTGGATAAACTGGCTTGTTCGAGGATTATTAATAGCGGACTTGCCAGCTATACTTTTCCTTATTGCCGTACTGATGGCCTGAAATGAATCGTCGTCCGAAACCGCATTTGTGTGCTCCTCTTCTTTATAAGGTGACTCGAGTTTTGGGGGTACAACCTTATTCGGGTTTATAGTATTTGCAATGGGTATAAATGATAAATCAGCGTGCAGAGACGTATGAGCATCTTGCTCCTGATTATTCTTCAATGGCGACGGCGTCTTCGGCGTATACCTCGATGTAGCATGTGTGGTATTAGTATTAGTAAGAGCGATCACTGGTGAAGACTGTGGGCTTTCTGCATCGTCCGCGTCCCCATCTATCAGCGTACCTTTGTCTCGGTGCCCGGGTGAGATATAAGTGAAATTGGACGTTAAATCTGCCCCTTCTTGCTTTTCTCGTTTATCTGGTACTTTATCATATTCTGCTTCTTCCACCCCCGCATCCTGGTCCTCGTCCCTGATAATACCTCCCCCTTTATTCTCGTTCTCTTCGCCCTTTTCGCTCTCCGATAACGAGGCGACAAATATTTTATTATGCTGCCCTTCTAGAGCCTTTTTCATAAAATCATTCAATTGATCAATATCACCTCTCAAATCGTGGTAAAACATCTCCGTATGCGTTAGCACTTCCGAATTCATGCAATATAACTCATTGGCAACCCATTTCGAGGTTCCTGGGACCACTTCGTTCTTCTTATTTTTTGCTGCTTTGATAGCCCAAAAACTGGAACTCATTTTATAGCTATTTCAAACCTGAGTCACAGACTCCACTTCACCTACTTCGTATTATCAACTTTCCGTTAATTACCGTTGAATATAAGTGTATGAGATGATTTGGAACCAATAGGAATTGTATTTACATTTTGTGGTTAAATTATTTTTTCATACGCGACATGTGCCTTGTTAACATGTCAAATTGATCTTATATTACTTCGAATATCTTCCCGGAGTGGTCCAAATTGAACACAAATAAGGGTGTAAGTAGTATCCAATTCTGAGCTGGTTGATATTTTAAACTAGTAGTATTTGAAATTGATTGTTACGAAGGTATCGTGGTAAAAGAAAAGATTTTTATTGATCATCACAATAGATAAGAGCAAGCATCGCAATATTTTGATCAACTCAGCAGAGTCGACATTGGTAATAGAATAAACAAATTAACAATTAGAACGCAAGAAAAAGTGAAGTTTAATGAAATTTTTTGGAACCAACCCTTCCAAACGTGATTTTAAGACCCTAGTGCAAAATAGCATAGCATCAGACTATAGCGATGAGATACCTATACCGGTACAAGATACGAAGAGTGACACAGCGTCAAATGAGAAAGAAGGCGAGCCATTAGCGTCGCCGGCGTATGAAGATGTTCCAATATGGAATATTTTGCCTTCATACCAACTTTACCAATCGACGTTTTCGAAGAACCTTCGGCCGTCGAATGAGGACTTGAGATATGCCCCGCCTACGTACCATGAGGATTCTACGGAAACGCCTGTTGGAAGTGTTGATTCTAGTACTGGGAGTTACTTTCCGAATATGGGGGATTCTCCAGGATCGTCACATTCTGCACCCACAACTGCTCATTTGTACTCGGGGAACCCTATAAATGAATCGCCTACTAGATGGGAAGATAGTCTTTTGGGAAATACGCATAAATTGAAGAAAATTGGTGATATTAACAGTGCTGTTGCTAATCGAGTAAAGATTGAAATCCAAATTACTGAAAAGGCGTGCAAGAAGGGTGTACGTCCCACTATCATTGATCCTCTGACTATAGAGTATCAGCCCGGGGATTCTATAAGTGGATTTATTACAATCAGAAACAAGCATAATCTTCCAATTCTGTTTGATATGTTCTCAGTTGTTTTCGAAGGTAAAATATCTGTTACAAGTGATATGGATTCGAAGAAGTCGCTTATTTTCTATAAATTTCTCAATATGTTTGACTATAGTGCATCGTGGACCCCGGCCGATTTGAATGATGATGCTGAAGAGGACCAGTACGATCCACTTGATAATGCATGCATGAGATTTCCTATGGAGAAGTATTTCGAACCCGGTGTCACTTATAAGAAATTCTTCAATTTCCGTGTTCCAGATAAGTTATTGGATGTTGCCTGCGAATTTCATAATTTGCCGAGACATTGCGAGATGTTACCTACCTTAGGTTTAGCAAAAGACCAATTTTTGAAAAACTTGAGAAGATTTCGACAAGGACTTTCTACAAACACTGAATTTACAATTGGGGGAACAGCTCCAGTATTGAATCAGCCTAGGAAGCCTGGTTTCAATGGGGTCCTTGATAAAAGGTTAAAAGATTTATCGTTCCCTGATACTTCTGTTAGTTATAGTATTGAGGCGAGAGTTATCGCTAAAGAATCTGATTATAGTCTGATCATGCCAAATTTTGCAGTCAAGTCAGAGAAGGATGAATTCTTAATTGTTAATGAATCCAGTTGTTTTATCAGATTAATACCAAAGGAACGGTTATCAAAGACTTTCGACAGTCAGTTAATTGAAAATGAATCAAAGATTATATATAATAACTTAGTTGAAAGGGTAACCCAGAAAATTCATTTAGGTAAGGATTTATTGGATGAGAAGCGTACAATCCTGAATAATGAAAATACCTATGAAATTACAAGGATACCGTCTATATCTAAAAGGAGACAATTATATAACGATGGGAGTAACAGTAACCTGAGTAAAAATAAATTATTGAGAAAGGAAAAAGGTGCCAAATATGAATTATTTGTACCTTATAAGAAGAAGTCGTTGACTGCTGCTCCGAAAGTTGTTGGAATTATTGGCTTGACAACAATTAAAATGGACTACAAATTGAAATATGTGCCTCCATACAAATATAGAACTTTGCATCAGCATCCATCTAATAACGACCTATCAACGAAGCTTAACATTCCGTTAGAATTTGTTTTCTCATCGAATGAAAGCTCCAAAACGTCTAAACCTCCGGATGTTAAGTCCATAAGTGCTGAATTGATTGTGTTTACATTTAGATCAAAGAAATATCCTATTCCTGTAGAGATATTTAGTGATTTGTTATTTAAGAATAAACCTGGTGACACTGACAATATTGAGCACTACGTCATTAAGCCATTCCAGAAATATCTAGAAGAAATCACTGATTTGTCTAGAAAACTAAGTTTTGAAATTTTGAACGTTGACAATCAACTAATCATGGACATCAAGAGTTTAGCCAATTTATCCACAAAATACAACTGCTTACGAGTTGACGAATCTAAAGTGACTTCAAATCATGCAACAGCCCCTTGGACGTTTGTTTCTTCCAAGGAAGCAAAGGCTTCTAGCGACCAGGAAGTTTATTCGAAGAAGGTCAACCTCATGGTAGATTTGAAGAATGTCTTTTCAAAAGACAATACAGGGTCTCACGATGACCTCGGCGTTGACGCCTATTCCCTCGTGCCAAACTTCCAGAGTTGTATAATAGGTAGAGCTTATTACTTGAGACTTCACGTCAAATTGCAAAACAATGATCTGATGTACTTAAGAATCCCTATTACGATTCAATTATGATATAATAAACGATAAAACATGTATAATACAATTTGTAGTACTACACCAAAATAAATCACTGTTATTATGTGCAGTGTTTTTTTTGTTATCTGCGTAATTTTAGATCTCTCTCTAAAACAACCCTTCTTTCATACTGTTAGCATCAAAGTATACACTCAATTATAAATTCTATTCACATCGCTAAGTTATGAATGACTTGCAATACCAGCTGATTGGTAGCAACGACAATAATAAATGCTCCGTATTTGAAGGAGCATCTAAAATAAACTTCGCATTTCTGGTATTAATTACCATAGGTATTATTGTCAGCTACTTACCACAATATCGTCGTATTTACATCAAAAAGACATCTGAAGGGTTATCGACAAATTTCTTGTTCTTGGGCTCCTGCTCATCTATTTTTACCCTTACAAATATCATTCTTGTTAGCTCTAAGGCTAGATATTGTTGCTATATAGGTGCATTAAACTTTTTCAACTGTCTTAACTCCCAGTTGAACTTAATTCAAATTGGAATACAATGCACATGTGCCATTTTGATATTAGTTGTTGTCCTTCTTCAAACAAGATATTCCATCAAGCAGGATAAGGATGAGTATGCAAGGATTGTGACTGTGGGGAAGTTCGTAGCACTACACGGGATAATATCGATAATTGAAGTATTCACAGGATTATATACCAATCGCACTCTTTTACTCACAATTGCCCAGATCAATGGTTTGCTTTCGGCACTATTGACTATGATGAAATACGTCCCTCAAATTACTACGACTTACAGACTTAAACATCCGGGCACATTGTCCATCGGCATGATGTGCATTCAAACACCGGGTGGGTTCATTTTCACCATGACGTTGTTTTTTACAAAAGGCTCGCATTGGTCATCGTGGGTGTCTTACTTAGTTGCAGCTCTATTGCAGGGAACTTTATTACTATTGTGCATTTATTATGAATACATAAAGAATGAAGGAATAACCTCCGAAATTTTAGAAAGACAGGAAATTGACAGAAATATCATACAGAACCTAGATGCAGTAAACAATGATGACCAGGAAACAGATGTGCTTATCAGATCCTAAATATACTATACATGTTAAATATAATGTACATGCTCTATATATGACTACTCTTCGTTTTCTTCGTCGAAAAATGATGCAAATTTAGGCTTAGGTTTCACGTTCGCCGGTTTCGTCGTATCTGATGCTTGGTTTTTCGGTGCTTGGTCTTTCGATGCTCCCTCCTGCGGCGTATCTTGTTCGTCGTTGGATGATTCCCAATCACTTTCCCAATCGTCGGACTCGGTATCCAGGTTCAATGCACTATTGACACTATTTCTCACCTCCATCATCACGTCATCGAGTTCATCAAGGAACTCCGTATCCTGAAACCGTTCCTGCGACGCGACACTACCGTTCAACACACTCTCATAGTATCCTATCGCTTTCTGAAGCTTCTCTTTTTTCTGCTGGAACTTTTCTTTATCTTGTTCTGCTTGTCCGTTCTGCTCATTAAGCGCATCGTACGCCTTTTTCAACTTAGCAATGTCCCTAGTTTTAACTCCCGTTTTCAAATCCTTATAATAAGTCTTGGAATCCTTAGTCTCTCGCTTTGGTTGTCGTCCTGATCTGCTTTTGTTGGCCCTTAAGTTCGCTCCAAATCCTCCTTTACCTCCTAAAACCCCCACATATGCATTTATTCTAGTCATCCCGTTCATTCCAGTAAGACTTTCTACACTGCTGTCCCGACAAAGTGGTTTATTAGTGCATTCTAATACATATCTTGGGTATAATTGGAACTTCATATAGTATTCATCTAGCCTTTTCACCAACGTATCCATCGACATATTGCTATCATAATCTTCTATCCGATAATTGGGTATGCCCCGTATGTTTCCTACTTCTATAACCATCTTCCACCATACGTCATATATTGCCATATATTGCCATATATTATCATATAGTACCTTAGTATGCTTATCTAGAAAGTGAAATCCATATTGGACTTATATCATCGATTACGTAATTGTAGTGAAAAAAATTCCACGAATCAATTGTCGACTTGGAAAATTTTGGTGATATTTAAGCAGAACGAAGCTTTTTTGACTAGTTATCATTCAATAAGCAATTTAAAGATGTTTAGAAACGTTGTTAATGCTTTTCGTTCAACTGGACGTACTTCATTCAA